AACCGTTTGAGTGCCTGCTTCATAAAGCCAAACCGCGCGGAAACCCCTCACATCGACAACAACAATGGCCGATTGTATTGAAGCGCTACTCGTGTTGCTCTGTCGAAACGAAATGGAAGAAATGGGACGACTTTACTACCAACTTTACAGTCGTTACATGCTACATTCAAAAGTTATTACACAGTGGGCCAAAATAAAAAAATCTGTACTAGTCGAGGGCCGGACTGGTTCAATGTTTATTGCAAAACGTATTGAAATGAACTTATTGCACATATTAAACCTGGAACTAACAAAGCTTAAATGATTGCCTATAAAAACAACATTACACAGGGTTAGGCTTTTTGTTGTTGTTAGAGGTTGATCTCGCCTCCGACGTAAGCGTGACGTATGCGGTGCTTGCTTTCTAGACCGACAACCTTTTGGTGCTTGAAACGAACCGGATTCCAGAGCTTAGAGGTGGCTCCGCTGCGGTATGAACAGGAAAAAACGGTGCTTTTCAAGCTCCAGCTCCGAACCGGCCCTGGAACCGCGTTGGTGTGAAAGGGGTATTTGAGACAACTGATCCAAATCAGAATCTACCGCTGTAAGCCAAGAGAGTCCTCCTGTGCTCCATCACGGTTCCAGTGTTTTGACAGAAGCTCTTGCAACAACATCATGATATCCTATATTTGACTGCTTGATCCATCTACTCACTCCGCGCGCTTGCTACAGTGAATCTGTTTAGTTACACCGAACAAAATAACTGTATCTCTAGATTTGTGAGACTTTTCAAATCCTTTGGCTGAACTGTCCATGATAGTGTGAGATATCTTTTGTGTGCAATTTGGTACAAGCATTCCACGGATTGCGAAACATCAAGGTCTTGTTCCTCCAACGCAGCCTCATCTCTTTGAGGAAACTTAGGGAGGACATGAGGGAGGAAAGGCGAAATAAATAGCTGATAGGTTCATAAGTTCAAACAAGAGAAACATATAACAAATGCGGATATTGCATTTCCAAATCTCAAATAAATGGATAAATGTATCCCCATTGCATTTCTATTTTGTTTGGTTTACTCTAATTGCAGTCGTTGAACCTGTCGAAGAGTAAGGTGTTACTAATTTTGTATTTATTGTCGTTATGCACACTGTATGTGTGATATGATCATGTCAGATCATGTGTTATCATTGTTATAAACACTTTAATGTGGACCTTCTGGTCAAAAGCACAACTGTTGGCTCCTGGCAGAGAGCCATGGCCTGTGTCAACGCCCCGGGATGTGTAGTTCACAGCATTAGTCATGTGCAGCAGCTAATGCTGAAATGTTTCATAAAACATGAAGGCGGAATCAGAATGCATGATTTCTCATTAATGAAACACTACGCCTGCAGCCTGAACATGTCTTTACTTCCAACACAGATGTTGTTTTAATTAGATATTTCAAATACCTTGAAGGGGGGTTTTCTCAGGAAACTCAACCCAATAACCAACAAACTGTCTCCAATTGATTTTGGATTGTAGAGATAGTTATGAACATTGGAGAATGTGGTCAATATTGCCTTTTTCTTCAGTTGTCTTTTGAGTGTTATCTGAACCATTATTGACCTCGTCAGTGGAGTCCTTTGGGTCCATCTTCTGTGGTTCATGAATATCTGTTTTACATGTTATACCAATCCAGCCAGTGAATGTTGAAAAGGACAGAAGTGTTGGAGTGAATGACCCACCAACGTTTCTATGTAGCAGTGACGCTTGCATGGTTTAAAAAAACATATTTGGGGATCTTAAGTATAAGCAAATGTGACCAAGTGTTTTTCTCTGAGCTCTGACTTCTCTGACGTGGTTTGGCAATGACACATAAACATAAATCAGCATGGGGGCATCTAGAGAATTTAAAGAATGGTAACAACTTGTCAGCGACTGCATTCAAATAGTGGCACTTTAATAAACACTCATAATTTGGTGTTGTCTCGCCACCTCAAAGGCTTTTGTGGGAGAGAGTTTGGCTGCTCTGATGTCAAACAAACCGTCTCACTTATAATTCATTTAAATAGAAATCGGTAATCTCCTAAATTCCCTATTGTCATGGTTTAGACACAGAGCTAATAGAACAGAGGGGTTTTGCTCTGTGTGACTCTGAAATAACCACCACCATCTTGGGTGTCACTAAACCAATCAAAACAGATCAGTTTGGGGATTATGAACACTAATAGCAGCTCTTTAGCCTTTACGGCTAACATTACCTTACTTGATGAGATTACTGGAGAGGGTAAAAAAAGCAGACACTTTTTCTTCTTTCCACCACTTTTCCTCCAACTCCACTATGTGTTATTAGATCTGATTGTGATTGTGAATGCACGCCAAATACATGGCAACAAGTCAAATCCCTGACCTCAGTGAACCCCATCTAAATTCCTCTGTTATCAAATTAGTAGCAAGTTCTTTTTAGGAATGATTTTCTTCACTTAGTCTCTCTTCTAAAGCATTAGAGTAAGTGGATCTAAAAATAAACCATACAAAGTCAACATTCTGGCACCCCATAAACAGCCAGGATTAAATTAGCCGACCACTGTTTCCTCTCTGCCTCAGTGTGTGAGTGTACGTGAGCAAGAAAACGCAAAAGGACCATTCAGCTTATGTTTCACATGCTGAATCCACTCTGTAAGAACCTTCACTGTTTTTATAGTTGGGCTATTCTGCAAGAACATGTTGATTTGACGTCCAACTCAATCACTCCTCAAGAAGAAACCACTGGCTGTAATAACACACAGGGTACTTTCTGAACACGTTTTGTTTTGCGTCATTGTTCTTTCAACACCAACAACCGGACGATGGAAAAATGGCCGATTATGCAATCATGGCCAATAAAACTGTCAGTTGCTGCTTTTTGTATAAACTATCACATCTCTACTTCGTCTCTTCCCCCTCCATCTGCGTCTCTGCACATGTCTCCCTCCTTAAAAAGGCATAGCACGAGACCAAACTGCACAGGTTGCCATACACACATTTATACTCACACACACACACACACACACACACACACACACACACACACACACACACACACACACACACACACACACACACACACACACACACACATAGCAAAAGGGACCTTCTAGCTACGTACTGGTAGAGCTCGTCTACTGTATTTTGATGCAATTAAAGGGGCCCTATTATGCTTTTGGGGTATGTAAATGTTCTGCCAAGGCTAAAAGGCCAAAGTTCCAAGGTATTGGCTCAAAACGTTTTTTTAAAGCTGCTTTGGTCTAATTTTGACATTTAAAAAGTGATCCCTTTTAATGTATATACTAATTCAGTCTTGCATTTCCAGAACATCTATTACAACTATAGACATAGAGGATTGTATACATATCGGCTTGCATTTATGTCAGGATGCTAAGACAAATTACTTTACTTAATTTTAAGAACAGTGCGAATACATCTCTAAAATCTGCTACATTCCGAACATATAGTCTTTGTTTTCACTTCATTTGGGGGTTTAACTTCACACCCAACAGTGTGTGAAACCCCTCAGCAGACCAGCAACACTTCTTGGCTCGGTATTTTTACAAACACTCTGAGGTGCAGTAACTTTGTGGTCCAGATTGTGCTAATGACTCCAAACTGATGGCCTCGTGTTATCCTCTGTGGGCCGTAGCAGGCATGGAAAATAGAGCTGCAGCGGTGGGAAACTCCTTGACATCTCAGAGAGGAAGAGGGGTAGGTTGATGTGTGTGTGTGTGTGTGTGTGTGTGTGTGTGTGTGTGTGTGTGTGTGTGTGTGTGTGTGTGTGTGTGTGTGTGTGTGTGTGTGTGTGTGTGTGTGTGTGTGTGTGTGTGTGTGTGTGTGTGTGTGTGTGTGTGTGTGTGTGTGTGTGTGTGTGTGTGTGTGTGTGTGTGTGTGTGTGTGTGTGTGTGTGTGTGTGTGTGTGTGTGTGTGTGAGAAGCACACTATAAGGAAGTGAATAGAAGAGTGTGAAGCTGCTTTTTGTACCAGGAAATTATGGGATAGCTGTTTTAGGGCTGCATGGTTTTGACCCTGTGACCACTGGCAGCCGTGAGAACCGAGTCCCGGGCCATGTGTCCTTAAGTCCCTCACACCAGCACGTACACACACATAAGCAAAACACTACGGCGGAGTGAGAGGGTCCACACAGCAGGGAAATTATCATACCTTCTCACCAGTGCATGTGGACCTGTGCCAACTATGCAGCCTATAAAGCCCCCCCGCTAAAAGTAAGTCGCCCAAGTATGTTTTGGTAAGGATTTCATGCGTCGCCTTCCCCTTTTTCACACTCAATTTGAAGCCTGTATGAAGACAAAAGCCCAATGACGGCAACAGTAGGAGGGGAGAAAGGGATTTTGAGGGACAAACTTTTGTTGGATTTATTTAATCCTCAGATCTGTATGAGAATTTCCCAGAATTGCTTTTTGTGTAAGATGAGACTGTTAAAAGGACTGAAAACAGAGAAGAAGAATCCAGGTAATAAACATGAAGCAATTCTGCCCCTTCTGCCTTTTAATTACTCATGTGGCCTTGGGCAGGACCAGGACAACTGTAGTGGTTTGATACTGGACGGCTTCCAGGTGTCAGCGAGGGGTCAGCACTCCCTCTTCAAAACCCATAAAACTTCCACCATCTCCACGCACCTGAAGTCATGATGTCTGATTTGATACAGTGGAATTCCAGATGCAGTACAAGAATAGAACGTGCTTTTTTAGAGTCTGGCTGTGTTAAAACAGAGCAGCAGATGTGTCTTCTGGCAGGACTTCTAGCAGAAATAAACAAAGTCTGCTGATTGTTTTTATTATTTCCTGGAGCTGCCATATAGACTTGGTTTACACTATCAAGGGAGTTGAACCTATACATTCATGTTAGTCACTTTTCTATACCGACACCTTTGTAGTATAAGCTTTCCAACAATAATAAGGCCTGGAGTCCATATAGGAAAAGACACATTTCCTGCAGGACGACTGCCACAGAAACGTTTGCACTGCTCTGTAAAACTTTTCAAACATTACCTCTGATTTCCACACCACGTAAGCGTGAGAGCTGGGCTGCTGCACCTTCCTCTGAAGCCACCTCCGCGGGGAGAACAGCGTGCCGGTGCTCCCGGTCGGTGTCGAACCGGGCCCCCTCACCAGAAACGGTAAATCCCCCGCAGTATTCCTTTTGGGGCGCTTCACTATATCATAGTCAAAATGGAAGTTTGAAGATGGGGAAACATCCAAAGGTATGGAGGGAGAGGATATGGACGGCGTAATGAGCTCTTTAAGTGTCGGAATCCTCGTGCGTAAAGCCGGTTTCACATCCAAGCGCTCCGAGGACGCACCTATGTCCAGAACTCCGGAGAAATCCGCGGCTATTATTCCCTCCGTCCCGGTGTCACAGTGTCGTATGATAGCCGGGTCCAGGCTCCGGGTTTGGCGTAGCCTCCGTTTGGTAATGGCTTTGGAGGCAGGAGAGGAGCAGGAGAAGACGCTGTTGAGGAGTCCTTGAGCGGCAGACATTATGTTGGATCTCCTGCTCAAAGAAGCCCCCCTACAACTAAAATAATTGAGTGCTTCCCCATCAGAAAAACAAGTCAAAGTACACGCTGGTGAGGAGCAGGAATGTGCAGCATCTGGCTGCAGACGCTGCGCAAAGTAGAAAGTCTCCTTTCCCTCTCAGTGTGTTCCTCTGCACGCTGGTCATTCCCAGACTGGAGTGGAGTGAGAAGAGTCTGTGTGCAAGAGTGTGGGAGGGGCAGGGGCGGACTGGGACTAAAAATCAGCCCGGGAAACTCGACCGGCCGACCGGCCCAACTCGGTACCGCTAGTCAATTGTCAGCGGGGGGTGCTAGTGAATTGTCCGATCACATACACAACACAGACAAGTTGAACACTCCCGGTATTCCCAATGGCCAGTCCTCCCCTGGGGAGCAGGATCAGAAAATGTAAGACCAGTGCTTGCATACTGTATTTTTTCAGATTATTAACCACTTTCATGTCAAAACATTATATTCTGAAGCTTTACTTTTCAAATACAGATGAGTTGCATTTAGAAAGTCAACTTAAGACCCCTATGTGTCCTCTTCTTCATTGTTAATACACTGTAAATGACTTCCTGTGATCACTTTCAGCCAAAATCAATTTATGAAGGCATGCATTTGTCCTCATTTGCCTGAAACAATGTGCACCACTTACTAACTGTGTCCTGCTGCTTCTGCAATAAACAATGTGGGGTAAGATATGCTTCTATAATTAACAAGCTCATTTCGTGAAGGTAATTAGGCGAGTAGACATAATCATCAGACAGGCAGAAGGTCACGCACTCAGACAGGCTGTCATGATTTAGCAAGGGATGAAAATAGGCATATTAATTATTGTCTCCCATTAATCCAGCTCGCTGTCTGGGAATAATGGGCATATCAGTGCAGCCTGCTGCGTGCTATTATTAGCCACACAATAAGTGAGCGTTAGGATTAATAGCTAATGCCTTTCTTTATACACCTGTGCAAAAGGCTGTATGCAGACATTTGTTTACACAGATGCTTGTGGAGTTATTCCGTGTGTTAAGAGATGGCTGTGTGAGTGTGTGTAAAGGAGTGTTTGAGAGAAAGAGAGCAGGAGCATGTGTGGCCCAGTGTGTGAAAGTATGGGGGAAATGAAAAGGGACAGCGGGGGTCTGGAGAGGAGGGTGCCGGACGGCTGATAAAGGAGCTTATGAAGCTGCGCCGCATGACACTCACACACGTACACACAACACAGCATGACATGACACTGATAACGGCTGAGATAGATTTGACCCTTCTAAAAACAGGTCTGGGGTGGGGAAAGAATGAGACACAGACTGAGTGAAAACACAGAAGCAGGAATTATAGAAAGAAAACATGGTGTTTCACATTACTTTGTAAAAAAACATTTATGGAAAGAAGCCAGCTCCTGAGGGTTGCCCTGAACTGGGCCAATATTACTCCTCCATATTGGGAAGAAAGGCAAAAACAACAGTCATATGGAACAATAGTGAATCATTGAAAAATATATTATATTCCCATACCACAGATTAAGAGAGTATAACATCTTTGACTTTACATTTTGCTGCCTTTAAACTCTGTTAGACAGAAATGAATGAAAGGGCCAAAAGGTCAAAAAAACTAAATGAATCAAACTAATTGTAGACTCAGATAAGCAATATGAAACACTAATCCAGCGATACAGGGGTTATTTTTATCCGTCAAAGACAATTAACATCAGTATTATTTTAGATGTATAACTCAAACAAATAAATAACAAGATGTATTTAAGTAATTAAACTGAAAACACCTCAAGCAATATATTTATCCAACCTAAGATTGCATGTGTTTCTGGCCGAACATTTAAACATCCCCACGCTGTAGCGCCACCATATTGTTCCAATAGAGCAAGATTCGATTATTTGGACATGGTGAATTTCATTTCACTGTATTTTGCCTCAAGGAAAAAGGGTCATGTTAACTCAGAAACAATAAGTCTGGGGGATGTGCATGGAGCCATGTAAAGGGACTTTTGGAAACCTAATATTCATGATATCACATACACAACACAGACAAGTTGTATTAAATTGACATTTTAGTGTCTACACTACAGTCTATGGTCTACCCTCAGTTTTTGTATAACTTTAATGACATCTGCTGGACAGTTATTGAAATCGCACCAGCAGTACGGTGTCCATGAGAGACCATTTTATCTTGGTAAATTGCGTTTATTGTGCTGCCTTCAGTGCTATATGAAATGTTGTGAAATTGAATGATTGCAAACAGGAGTTTATTATTTATTTATTTTAACCTAGTGTTGTTATTGAGATCATTCACAGACTGGGTGAAGTTCAGTATAAGGTTTGTTTTTATAGAATGTGTATTGCAAAAAAAAGTTTTCAATTAAATCAAGGCATCCAAAATGTTAAAAGCCCAGCTCCTTAAACCTGAAGCAATGACAATTACGAGCATGCATTGAAGGCAGCACACATTGACTGCATTCATCCATGCATTTGTCCACAACAGCGCCATCCCTCCAACGCCTGTTTTGCATTTAGACCCCTTACAGTTTGGCAAGGAAAGGGTTACGGAGTTTATAGGGTGGTCCAGATCGACGTCGCCATGAACAAATGAATTCGCGGGGAATTAAATTTCACAAAGGAGAAAGAATCCTGTGCTTTGAACCCGACCCGTCCAAGGCTAAAGTGTTGTATGACGCTAAGGTAATGCTTTTTGCAAGAAGTTAAGATATTCTCTATTTTCTAAACGAATACTTTATATTGGAAAATAAGGTTTGTTAATGTAGGTGTGGGATGCATGCATCTGTGACAACTACTTAGGCCCCAAAAAACAACATTAACAGTTTATAAACCGCATAATAAAAATGCATGGTTTCCGGGTACGTTTGATTGCACGTTTCTTCTCTTATCGTGCGATTTAGCCAAGTTATGTTCGTAAAGAGAAGGGTTGTTTTTTGTAGCTTTTAACTTTAGCCAATGTCAAAGCAGGCTGCTTGATAACAGCTTATATTGCAGTACAGGCTATCACCAAGGAATGCAATTATTTTGTAAGAGACAGATATATAAAGACATCACTTACGTAGCTTGGTGGCAATCATCCAACGTGACGTTATTTTAATGCTGACTCCAAATAAACCAACACACCTACCCTGCTAACTTTGTCAACACCGAACATTGTAATGTCGCCAACTCTTATTTAATGACTGTCCTGCTATTTTAATGTAGTTCCTTGATAGCTTCGAGTATAATGTTAAGGGCTTATGAGTAGACAAACATATTTTGTGGTTCCAAGGTTGTGGTATATTCTTGCAAGTTCGAAAGTCGTTTTCACCAGCTAGCTAGTTAGCAAGCTAATGCTAATAGAGGGTTTGTTTACATCATAGCCTGTCATTTGCTAACTGAGGCTAGCTAACAGTTAGCCTTAACTGTTGCTTAACTGCGCATTGTCTGAGTTGCATTGATGCAATAATCTTAAAAAAACATATAGTTGTTTAAAGAGCTACAGTACAATGTGAAATACCAATGTCCTAGTATCTTCTACATTCATCTTTTTGCAGCATAATGTAACGTTAGCTAAAACCAAATGTAGAAATGAATGCTCTGTTCTCTTATTGCAAATCGAAGTTGGTATAATTGATGCTAAGTTAAATTATTAATCTCCACTGTCGTGATTGACAAAGTAACAAGTATGTAAAGCTTGCAGCAGAAAAGTAGTGCAACAAAAACTAAGATATTTCCGGCTGAAATGCAAGTAACAGAAACTTTAGAGTCTGAAAACATGGAATTACACAGGACAGTATTTTAGTGAATGCACATACCTCTGCTGACATAATCTTAGTGTTTGAGTAATGAAAATAACTGAATTGTGAGTATAAGACTGTTCCATCCCAAAGAAAGTTGTGAAGAAGGGTATATTGTAATGTTTTGTGTTCACATTACAGGTCATTGATGTCTTGATTGCAGATAAACATGGCATAAGAGTCCCAAAGTATCTCATTCATTTCAACGGTTGGAGCAGAAGGTAAATGTCTTGCTTGAATTAATATTAAATAAACATGCAGTCACAGCCACCCACCTACTTAAATATATCATACTCATTGTAGTGTTTATCGTTGCCAAATGTCATGTTCATCAACTTGTGAGATAATAGCTGTGAAACACTTAAACCATGCAGGTCTGTGTGATTTTTAACTTGTGTGTGTTTGGGTAGCTGGGATCGGTGGGCTGCTGAGGATCATGTCCTAAGGGACTCAGAGGAAAACCGTAAATTGCAACATAAACTGGCTCGCAAAGCTCTAGGTCGCATGTAAGTTCATATTATGTTCATTCAGTCATAACACCATCACAATATAACCATTGACATAGAGTATACTCTCTTGTATGTGAATCATGTACTCTTACTAGAGAGCTTGTGATTATCAAGCTATAAAAAAAGTCTGGACACCTGTAACTTAAACTAAGTTCAGTGCACTGCATGCTCCTGCAGATCTGTGTTCACATTGTTTCTGATTTGATCTTAGGTTGTTTGTTTTTAGACAAGACTGATAAAGATGGTTTTCTTTCCTTTGGACAGGAAGAAAAAGGGATGGGCGAAGAGGCGCCGTCGTCAATCTGGTACCAAATCCTCCTCTCTCAAAATTCTTCCTAAGGAGGACGACAGTGACGACGCATGTAAGATGACTTCTCTGTCTTTTGTTTTTTGCTCCCAGTCTCCCTTAGCAATCAAATGAATCCTTCTCCGTATTTCTCTGTCTCAGGTCTGATTTCGTCTACAGACAGCAGTGACGGGGACGACTCAGACACTGAATCTTCAAATAGCGGGGACAGCACCTTCTCTGAGGATACTGACAAAATGGTAAAGGGGAACAGTTCTATTCCCATCTCAAACATACACCCAACATTTGGAATGTAGGCCTTTAGTTGATGCTATTATCTGGACAAAATCGCCATTTAGCAACCATCAACCAACTATTTGATGAGCCAAAAAGGATTTGAATAACCAATACTTCTGTATATCCTCTTAGTTTCTATTAACCATTTACCTGATGGTTATATTGCATTTTTTTCAGAGGGTTGAGCCAGACATTAATGTTAAAAGAGAATGTGAGGAAAAGATTATCCATGTTGACATCAGCATCCCTGATATCCTGAAGAAGAAACTGGAGGATGACTGCTTTTACATTAACAAGAGAAAGAAGGTACTTGAATTGTTTATATTTTCATATTTGTACATCCTGTGGGCAGTGTGGATACATTGATTTGACTTGAGGCTTGTCAATAATCGGCCATGTTTCTCTCTCCTAGCTGGTGATGGTTCCTTGTCAGACAAATGTCGTGCACATCCTCGAGTCTTACGTCAAACACTTTGCCATCAACAAAGCCTTCATGGCCAACGAGAGATACCGGCGTCAGCAGAACGCCACACAGAGTAGCAGCCCACAGCCTGTACCTCCAGAAAAGAGGTGAGAATCTACTTATATGTTGTAAACATGTTATTTTTAATTATGAGCTGAATCTTTGCATCAGACCCAGCTCAGAATGCATGAATGATTATGAACTCGTTCTTTGTTTTAAGCGAGGAGCTGTGTAAGGAGATGGTCGACGGGTTGAGGATCACGTTTGACTTCACCTTACCCATGATCCTCCTCTACCCGTGTGAACAAGCTCAGTTCAAAAAGGTCAGCTCCTCCAGGCTCTTCCTGGCCGTCAATGAAAGCTCCCCCTGCTCCAGCAAGTAAGTGTGCCATGGTGAATCTAGTTTGTGTGTTGTTTTTGTAAAACTCTTTGGATGTGATGTACTGAATGTGAACACCAACATTCAACTTTAGGCCTTTTCTTTTCCCGTTATGTTTAAAGTGCCCAAAGAGAGCGCAGCCCCAGCCCGTTGGGGCACAACCCGCCCACCCCCCAGTCCACAGACAGCCAACCAGCACTGAGCGACATATCTGCTTCCACGCCCACCGCCCCAGCCCCCACCCCGAAGCGCAGGCGCCACCCCGACATGGACTGCATCTCCTTCCAGTCTCAGTCCCTCAGACGCTCCACCAGGAACACATCTGGAGGAGACCGGCCAGCCGAAGGAAGCAGTGGAGGTGATCCCTTATTACTTATGCTCTAATTAAAAAAATGATCCAAATATATCTCTTCTTAAACACTTTTCTCTCAGTAATCGATGTGTGTGAAGCATATTGCAACACTGACTACACTTGTGAGCTGTTGATGCATGCTGTTTATTAATACATTTTAATGTAATGATCCAGGTGGAGGCAGTGCCACAGCATCCCCGCAGCTCAAACGCCGACTGGTCGACACCTCATCCCAGCCAAAGTTCTTCCTTAACCTCGACAGAAGTAAGAGGACACTCCATAAAAGAGAATATGAATTCAAATAAAAGCTTATTATGATGATACTCTAACTGTAAAAAGAGCCATGTGGACTTTTCTAACACTTCAGTGCAATTAATAACCCTAATGCTCCATCTTGCCGTTATTTGCTACACCTGTGTAGCAAACCTAATTGTAGTAACAAGATTTCCCCAGTAGATGGCGCTGCCCTTCTTCTTTCCTCACACACTCATCCTTAATTATACTCCTCAGAGAAGAACTCTCAAAACTTTTTGTAGCCTGGTTTGCTCTCATGGGGTCTATTTTGAAGTCTACATTTCAGCAGTGATAGGCAACACTTCTAAAAGTTTAACTGTACTTTCTCTTTACCCAGAAACCCCAGTGCACAGTGGCTCATCCTCCCCGTTGCCCTCGACGCCAAGCAAAGAGCGCAGTGGGCCTTTTTATGGCCTTGAGAGCCGGAGGAACAATGAACTTAATGAGGTGATCAAATTGTGTGTGTGTGATGAACATACTGATAACTGGAAGGGAAGCAACATCTCGCCCAAGGACTCCTGGATAGTTAGAGAGACAACGACACAGTCAAATACCCAGGATGTAAAAGTGGTCCTTGTGTGTATGGTTATTTATTCATACATGCATATGGAACAACTTATTAAACATTGATTGTAACCTTTAAATGTAGTCCATTCAGAACTGTGTAGGGATTTCAATGTAAACGTGTACAACCTAAATGTTCCTTTTCTCTAACTCTGTGCACAGGTACTAAGTTGGAAGCTGACTCCAGATAACTACCCACTGCAAGACCAGCCCCCCCCACCTTCATACCTGTACGGAGCCCAGCACCTCCTGCGTCTTTTTGGTTAGTTTCTCTGCTCATGATTTCAGTGGTTTAAATGTGGAGCAGGGACTAATCTTACTCTCATTTTATGATTTTGATTGAATTCTTGCTCAATTTCTTGCTTTTCTTCCAGTGAAGCTTCCTGAAATCTTGGGGAAAATGCAGATCCCTGAGAGGAATCTCCGAGCGCTGGTCAAGCATTTGGAGCTCTTTCTAAGGTTAGTAATTATTGTGTTCAAATGAAATGCATCTCAGAGTTAGGCACTTTACGAGGCATCTTAGGGAAAGAACGTTTTCAATTTAAAATGGTCTACAGAGATTAACTACAGGTTTAAAATTCCTTCACTCAGGCCTAAAGGATTTCAGTTTATTCCCTTAAACATTCAGGCATAATATTGGAATTTCATCCGAAAATCGTGTGTGATTTCCACAGAGAATATCTCATTATATATCGACGAGGTGCTGCATTCAATTAAGGAGACATTAAATAGGAAGCACTTTGACTTCAAATGCACCTTGCTAATAACCACAGCCAAAGTTGAGCTGCAGGAAGTTCTCATTTCACAAGGAGATAAGGGTTATAGCCTTGATAAATACATATTATACCTTATGCACATTTTTGTTAACTTGCGCCACAGTAGTAAAGTAATGGCAACTAAAGAATCCATAGAAAGTGATTATAGATGCACAAGAATAACCCAGAAACAGAAAAACAAAAAGGCAAGGAAGAGTAAGTAAATGAGAACATGCAGAGGGTGGAGGGGAGGGATGGATGGAGTGAGAAAGAGCATGTGTTGGAGGGAGGGAGATGAGTGGGTGTTACACAAGCGTCGGAGTCTAATCTTTAAATCCTCCCAAGCGATCTTCAGTTCAGCCGGTCCCAAACCTGGGGGATTTAGGTCCTCTCGTTCTCTAATCAAACACACGCAGTACCGCCTCCTGCCACCAAGCAGTGCCGTGGAGCTGCCCCCCAACTCCCCACGGAGCGGGGGGGAAAAAACAACCCAGAAACCGAAACATGTATATAAATAAATAAACTGGAGCCCAGTACTCCATACAAATCAGGGGGTGGTCTTCTGGAAATAGCCGGAGCTGGCATTCATGTCAGAGAGTGGTGTGCAGTATGATTACAGCATTCAGCGACATATGTGATGCACAGATGTATTCTATTCTGTCAACACGGGATCCTACCACTCCACACCATATAAAACACCTCGTTATTTGCAGCAGCATTAGCACTTTTTCTCTTGGCTAAGCATATCATCTGTAGTCATGTAGTTTGGGAAGAAAGTATTTGTATTCACTTCACTGGACTGCAAATCACCGGCGCATTTCCTTTCATAGAATATCACTCTGCAAAATGGCAATGACAATAACTTGCAAAGAGGAGTGAGTTGCTTAAAAGTAAATTAGTTTTGCAGCTTCACTGTAGCTCAGTGATGAGGTGCTCAGGCGGTATTGATAGTGTTACCCGCGGTAACTGCTTAATATTTTCCCCGTGCTGGAGCCTCTGAAGGACACTGGGCACAAACTAAAATACTGATGTATTATGGGAAAGCCTTCAGGCCTTTTTGCTCTGAAATCAAACTCACGGCAGATTGCGCAGAGCGGGCAAAAACTGATTGATGTCGCAGAGACTGAAGTGCAGTGCATTCTGGGATTTGGCCACAGTTGATCTCTCACTCTCCCTTTCTGATTGAGTCTGGGTGTGTGTGCACATGTGTACGCACACGTTATGCTGATTTACTATGTGTAGGCCTAAAGCAGCTTGCCTTGCGTTATTACTTATCTAACGGCAATAAAGATTGGCACAAGCCTAAATTAAGGCACACAAAATTTGAATATTGGATCAAAACATTTTCAATGCTTTCCAATAAATCAACTTTTTTTTATTTCAAGTGAAGAATGAGGCTTGAATTTCCTCCTCACCTTAGATTAATTGACTGTAGAGCCCTCATATATTCCCCTTATTGTCCCATTAGAGTTGTTTTGTTATTCGTTGTCAAAGCGTTCTTAAATGTTCTGATGAGGATAATTTGTTTGCATTGAGATTAGGAGGGCCGGTGGAGCTAAAATGAGATGGCAAGATTTAGAGGATTTGGCCGAGTAGCGGATACTAAGAAGATTCCGGATTAGTTTTCCCTGCTACTGATTAGATGGGAGGAGGCGGAGGGGGAATTTTTCACTCTTCCCTCGCTGACTGTCAGTCATTCTCCTGTCCTCGGCCTTCCTGTCATAGCCATTGGTCCTCTGGTGGTGGCGGTGGTGGTATAGGGACGGATGAGAGGGCTTTGTGTCCGACATGTATATACCCCGGGCAGAGGGCTGGGGGTCTGGGATTTATTTGAATGATCCAGGGATATCTAGGAAGTGGAAGTGAACAGGGACGTGACATTTGAGATGCTTTACTGTCATTGCTTCGTGTAAGCCTATTGTGACAAATCGCTTATTTTGAATATTTGATGTGAACAGAGAGGCCTTCTGAATGCGTTTGGGTCAACAAATCTCACCCGATTTCCCTCTCTTGTACTTCCCCACCCCGCCCTCTCTCTTATAGGTTTCTGGCTGAGTTCCAGGAGGATTTTTTTCCTGAGTCCGCATATGTGTCAGCATCAGAGGCCCACTACAGCATGAAACAACCGAGGCCAATTTATTAAAGGAGACGTCAGCCATTGTGTTTCCTTACTTAGCGTGTCTTTCCCCTGCCCTAACCTCCAGCTTGTGTACACTGAGCTGTCTGGGCTCGTTCACGGAGCAGCTGTCTCTGGATTGTTGCTGTTTTGTGTTTTTTCTGGACCAACCTTTCTTTTTCTCTAGGCTAAAACTCCTGCTTTTGGAAACCAGTTGCTTTAACCCTGCCACTAACCCTTGCCGATGCTCACTTTGCATTTCGAGCCAACCTGCTCCGCATTAATTTACTGTTTCAAGGAATGTCGGGGGCCACATGTTGGAATACCTACCTTTTTTAGGGGCCTCACAAGTTAAATTCACAGTTTCTCTCCATATTTACATCTGCTTTTTCTTACCTGGCCTACACTTTTTAAGACCAGGCGATGATTGGAAAGTTCTCCAGGCTTCCATCATTTAGCTGTGGAAGCAGACATAACTTCTCTGCAAAGCCCCATCTCTGTAGCCGGGAAAAACAATACTTTGGCCTGTTCATAGAAACAGACACAGATTAGACCGCATGTGTTGTTGTCATTGTGCCCGCCAAATAAACTCATTTTAGATACTCTTAAGGGCATTACTGGGTCACCTGTTCGGTGGCTTGGCCCCATTTGTTGTAATGACTTCCTGTAAGTGCTGGCAGCGCTAGGGATCCTCTACAGTTGGACTTGCTCCTCCTGTCCCGGAGATTCATCGCTGCCTTTGCTGAGCAGTTTTCTGACTCTCTCTAGTTTTACATTTTTAATTGTCCATGAGAATTGTTCTTATTTCTTTCTCTGTCTTTTTTCTTCCTGTGCATGTCTGAAAAGTGTCTATTTGCCCTTTATTTTCCCTTTTTCAAAAAGGATAAACCACAACATCAAACATTGCTTGTCTGTATAACATATTCAAGAGGCATGTCATAATAAATGCATTTGGAGGTAATCTGTATCAACCAGTAATGTAAGTATACAGTTAAAGACCTGAGATAGTTATTATCGTCTCGTTTATTGATGACAAACAAGATTAGCCCATAAATGTGTCCAGAACAAATTCATTATTCCACTGATGCCTTTTACTAAATTGTGAAAATGTAAATAACCGTTTTGATATTTATTTTTGTTTGCACACCATGTTCATATATTTGTTAAATTGGATATGACCTGACCATGCTCATTCCAGGCCAGTTAAAACCTTTTCTTGAGCAAATAAATTGTTCTGTACAAAATATCTTGAAATAGCTGTATTGCAATACACTGTGTGATACAATGGATCTATATACGTGTATTGTATTCTGTGCAGAGCTATGATATGCATAGCCTGTTAGACATTTCTTATGTCTCTTTCCTGTCAGCCATGTTTTCTTCATCGAGTTTGAATAAACACTTTCTGAAGCTCATCTTATTCACAAGCACCATAATGCATACACCCTAGCTGATTATAATTTGTCCAACTCTGTTACTATCTGGTTAATTCTTGCGCCTTTGTTCTGTTCCTGTGAGATGAATCAGCAGGGAGCTTTGATATGAATTCCAAAAACCTCTCCTCTATTAAAAGTTAATGTAGACGAGAGTTTTATCAGCTACCTTGACCTTCTATGTCCTCGCACTTTTAATGGAGTAAAACCCGAACATGTTTTTCGTGGCCTGAAATTTTCAATCTGCTGTCCTTGTTAACACAGTTCATCTGTTTGTCTTTGAGCTACTTGAGAGCAAACCTCTTTGAGTTTAATGGTTCTCGTTTAAATGAACTTTGCACTACTTTACCTTTTTTTCTTGAATCATCTTTTATAGCGTCATATTGGCCAGACAGATGTGTTATTGATGTGATCCTGCCACGGTTCCCCTGGTGGGAGTTAGTGAACACGTTGGGATTTTTTGATTTAATCAATGTTCCCTTGTCTGTTGAAGATAGATGGGAGCCTTCTCGTGTTCGTTGTTCTTAGCAGAGGCGGACATGTTTTTGGCAGAGATAAGAGTTCAATATGTTGCTCCAAATCGGGAACTTTTGGAACTGGTTGTCCTGAATTAAAAATATTGTAATAGATAAAGCTCTTGATGTCATTGGATTATCATGGTTAGCCCCTCCTGCAGCAGCCACTGTTGTTCAAAAGCTAGATGCGTTTGAGAGTGATGCATTAAAGGACGTGGTATATTTCATGGCTAGGATAAATACAGAGGCGGCTTTCCAAATAGTTTGCTTTTTTTGTTAGCAGCACTGCAGCTTAACCCTAGTTTGTTTAAAGCATGCAGAACCCTTCTTGTCCTTTGTGCTCTCCTTGAACAAGAGTGTCAGGCAAAGTGACAAAACGTTACTGCTAAAAAAGGAAACTATGGGAAGTATGCTATGAAATTGCAATCACATCAAAGAACATTATGTGTCACTGCTTTATCTATAAAGTGCATCATAGGAGATTTTTCATTCTACCAGTCTGTAGGCTAAGCTAATACATTTAGGGAGCTAGCTTCAAAGGTAGCCTACTAAATAAACATGGGAGTGGCATTCATTTTCTCCTCTAACTCAGGAAAAAAATCAAATCGGCCAATTCCCGAACTGTCTTGTATATCAAAATACAATTTCCATGTGACAATGAACTGCTGAGATAATATACTGTATCTTTACTGTCTGCAGCACAATGCTCTTAGCCTATTCCCAGTGTACCTATGGGAGGCTGGCTAACCTGGCTTCCTCATATCAGGGTCCTAATGGGTTTAAGTGGTGCGCCCTAATTGTATTTAGGTGGGGTGAGACTTCTTGTAATAAACTGCTTATCAGTGCAACCCAAAACGGCACTCTCTTGCCTGCTGCTATCATGTAGCCACAGAAGCCACCAGTTCAAGCCTCTGCACGCATCTCCAATCGATTTCCCGCTCCGACTCTATCCACTTACCACATGATTCAATTTTTTTGGGAGGGAAAATGGGATGTAATGAGATGTGAGTTATCACCTTGTAAGTGCTGCTGCCCGCACCTTTCAACTGATGCCGCCTCTTCTTTTGTTTGTGATCACCTCCCTTACACATTTGCAGCTTTTTAAAAAGGACTCTCCGGTGTCTGTGTCTCACTTCCTCTTCAGTCCCTGAGTGTTTTTTCTTTTCCTGCCCTCACATCCATATCTCAATCTCTTTTGTCTAGTGTTTCCTCTGATTGGTCTTTTGTCTTTCCGTTCCATTCATCACTTGCTACAGAACTCTTCAGAGACAGAAGAGAAGCGTGAGGAGCCTTTGGCCAGTAGGAATGCAAAGACATCTCTTTCCTTTTATTTAGAATATTTTGAAGTGTTTTTTCATCATCATCTAGTTCCAGCTTTTCACTTTATCACGCCATCTTTTGATGCATTCATCTACTTGCCCGTCTTCACCCAAGTCTCCTTTATCTTTTTGTCTTTTTCATTCATCTTCATTGTCCCGTTCTCTCAATTGTCTTTCTTGCACCATGGACCGTGGAGATGGATTGCGAGAGGAGACCGTGGACACAAGCCCATCTGTTTCCTCTGACTCCTCTTGGACATCCTTTGACTGTAGCACTGACCTCACATCAGTCAGCTCTGACCAACTCCTGACTCCTCTTACAGCTCCCGTTGGCTGTAAACTATTCGAGGACCAGCGTCCGAAGATGTCTTCTTCTTCAGTCAAGGTCTCTTCTGAGGCTACGTGGACGGAGACATCTTTTCTCGGAAATGATGAGTAAGCACATTATTCTAATAACTAGAGAATTCCTCAGGGAAAATATGATTTAAGCTTGTCTACATATGTATATTAGTCACTTTGCTTAATAAGAAGTGATATATTTTCCATCTGAATCCAATTAGATATCATTTCTGTGTCATGTCTAACACTGATGTAGACTCCAATATAATATAACGAGTCCCTTGATACGAACACATGGTGTGATCAATGTGTTTTCATTAAGATCGTCAATATCAAATGTAGTTCTGCATACTTTTTGAGCCTGTGATTGCGTTGCCTTTGCAATTTTGAAAACGAAGTTAGATTATCTTAGTCGTTAACAAGATATATGTTTTGTTCAGTTGAGGAATGGTTTGTTCTTTCCCTCCTGCAGGAGAAGTCACACTATGCTCTCTAGGAAAGGACGGGAGAGAAGAGGATTAAAGATCTGAATAGTGTACGGATGCAATGCTCTCGCTGAGACTTAGCTTTCAGCCCACAGTGGTGTGATTATCTGTTTCATCTGGTTTTAATCACTTGTGGTTCTGTAATGGGAGTCCTATTCCCAGTCGCAGGACTGAGAGTGAATAAAACAAGCACTGCATTAGTTTCTTTAGATAGAAACCATAAATCACCTCTCTCTTCGAATTCTTCAGAGAATCTCGGCCTCAGAAAACCTGCAGTGTTGTTCATCAAGCCTTTCTTCCACCTTTCCTTTCTTTCCGCTCTCCATCACTTCACCCCGATAACACGTAATTACTCTTCTACAAGACAGACAAAAGTTTGAACACACTCACTTTCTCACACTCTCACCATGTCTTTATATCACCCCGAACAACTCCCCGTGGAGTTTTCCGTATCTTTACACAAAGACTGATTAAACTTTGTTTGAGGAATATTTCAGAGCCAGCTGGAATATTAATGCTTTCTGCTCTTTTTATCCGTCTTTGTCAGACGCTGGGTTTCAGTCTTTGAAATGGAATGTCTAAATAGAAATGACAAATGTCAGCTGGGCTTGAAAGGCGGGAAAAGCAGGTTATTTTTTTGGTGTAAAAAAGGACAAATGGGGATGCATTTCGTGCTGACGATACTACCATTTGGCAATGCTCTGCTGCTCTAGGGCATAAGATAAATGACTATGTTGTGCATAATATATAGGAGGATATAAAGTGCACAACAATTACATTTAAATGTATTTTTCTGTTCTAATTTGCAACATGAACTTCATACTAACGTATTTACTTTTTTATATACATATGTGTTCATGCTGAGAGATAGATAGCACACAATCAGAATGATACAAAAGGTTATTTTTTCATTCTAACTTAAGTCACCTAAAGCTAAGCTAACCAAAATACCAAACTTTTCTTAAAAAAAAACATGTATTCATTTATTGATGCAAAAATGGCAAGTTCATATTTCATTTTTTAAAACGTCTCAAAAGTGTTGGGAAGATGAGCCTGACAGTTAGATGGAAAATCACTAGTGACCCTCCTCTCTTTGAGGAGAGAGGTCTCCTCCTCATATTGAATTCTCCTCGTGCACCTCAATGACTCAGTAATGTGCATGCTAACGGGTAATGTTCTTGTGCTGTATTTAAAGTCTTAAAAGGTCATAGCGATCGTTACACTTAAACAATATCATAGTCAAATATTAATATAATTACCATTTCTGGACAAACTGCCATTCACTAAAACCTAATGATTATACCACAAAAGGAGCTACAGGTGTAAAGAAAAAGGGAATACATATGTTATTCGACTATCTTCCTCCCTTCTTTACCCATTTCTGGACCCTCTGCCTTATATTCCCACCATATATTCCATTGTTCTGTTATCTCAACTGCTTCACAACTATATTATTCTTCCCCGACCCCCACTGACACAAACATAAAGTAATTTGGCTGCAGTTGGATATTGTTTTATTGGAGCCTGCCCCTCTGCTGGCGGCGGCATGAGGATTAGGATACAGTCGGGCAAAGAAGCGCAGCATGGTGGTACATTGGGTCATGAGGGGGGGTAAGATATAGCCTAGTATACTCATATCTCATCATCTGTGTCAATATAATGTAATGATGAGCTTTGTGGATGCCTGTCCTGCCATATATGTGTTAAAGGGGTGTGTTTCAGTATATGTCTCGTGCGTATGGACTTTGATTGAACTTATTCTGTATTTTCTCTCTTCTATCTTCGCTATTTAAATCATATCGGATTATCAAAATAATGACATACTACATCCATATGGTGCGGCACAAGGATTCAAACATGGCAGTGTGTTTCCATGTTGCAGGCCGTATGTTATCTAAGCAGAGGCTGCGAAGGGTTCAGCATTTCTTTGGAGGAAGTTGTTTTTTCTCTCCCAGGCAGGCGCAGTGTGTGGCAGACATTTTCACAGTTGGGTGGAGACCCTCTGATCTGAGCCCGCCCACTTATCCTACTGTAGTAAGTTAGCAACTGTATTTTCTACCTCGTTCAAGCTCTGTGGTTTGATAGGACACTTTGATAGGATTTAAAGTCAGGCTTCAGTTTGAGGCTTCATACAGCGTCTACTACTTGTTCCCAGTGAAACGGTATTGGAAAGATGCATTTAGCATTTTAAAGCTTTTCTTACCTGATTTGATTAATGCAAACGTTCTTTGTTACAGCTAGCTCCATTTTCATTAGTTTAGGTTAACACCATCACTATGGTTGCCCAGTAACACGGTTACACAGTGATAGCGGTGTGGCTTTTA